CTTTGCATCAGAACCCAAATGAAGGCAATTCTGCTGAGAGTTCATGCTTATCTATGACGACAAAGCATGAAAGGCCTATCAAACCTTAATGGTTTGACCTGAAAAAAATAGGGGGATCTAGAATTTGTGTGATGAGACTCCCCTATGAGTTTCAGAGCTTCATTCCAACGTTTGGTATGTGTTTTGCATCAGAACCCAAATGCAGGCAAATCTGCTGAGAGTTCATGCTTATCTATGACGACAAAGCATGAAAGGCCTATCAAACCTTATTGGATAGACCTGAAAATGATAGAGGGATCTAGAATTAGTGTGATAAGACTCCACTATGAGTTTCAGAGCTTAATTCCAATGTTTGGTCTGTGTTTTGCATCAGAACCCAAATGCAGGCAATTCTGCTGAGAGTTCAGGCTTATCTATGACGACAAAGCATGAAAGGCCTAACAAACCTTATTGGATAGACCTGAAAATGATAGAGGGATCTATAATTAGTGTGAAAGGACTCCACTATGAGTTTCAGAGCTTAATTCCAATGTTTGGTCTGTGTTTTGCATCAGAACCCAAATGCAGGCAATTCTGCTGAAAGTTCATGCTTATCTATGACGACAAAGCATGAAAGGCCTATCAAACCTTATTGGTTAGACCTGAAAATGATAGAGGGATCTAGAATTAGTGTGATAAGACTCCACTATGAGTTTCAGAGCTTAATTCCAATGTTTGGTCTGTGTTTTGCATCAGAACCCAAATGCAGGCAATTCTGCTGAGAGTTCATGCTTATATATGACGACAAAGCATGAAAGGCCTATCAAACCTTAATGGTTTGACCTGAAAATAATAGGGGGATCTAGAATTTGTGTGATGAGACTCCCCTATGAGTTTCAGAGCTTAATTCCAATGGTTGGTCAGTGTTTTGCATCAGAACCCAAATGCAGGCAATTCTGCTGAGAGTTCATGCTTATCTATGACGACAAAGCATGAAAGGCCTATCAAACCTTAATGGTTTAACCTGAAAATAATAGGGGGGTCTAGAATTTGTGTGATGAGACTCCCCTATGAGTTTCAGAGCTTAATTCCAATGTTTGGTCTGTGTTTTGCATCAGAACCCAAATGCAGGCAATTCTGCTGAGAGTTCAGGCTTATCTATGACGACAAAGCATGAAAGGCCTATCAAACCTTATTGGATAGACCTGAAACTGATAGAGGGATCTAGAATTAGTGTGATAAGACTCCACTATGAGTTTCAGAGCTTAATTCCAATGTTTGGTCTGTGTTTTGCATCAGAACCCAAATGCAGGCAATTCTGCTGAGAGTTCAGGCTTATCTATGACGACAAAGCATGAAAGGCCTATCAAACCTTATTGGATAGACCTGAAAATGATAGAGGGATCTAGAATTAGTGTGATAAGACTCCGCTATGAGTTTCAGAGCTTAATTCCAATGTTTGGTCTGTGTTTTGCATCAGAACCCAAATGCAGGCAATTCTGCTGAGAGTTCAGGCTTATCTATGACGACAAAGCATGAAAGGCCTATCAAACCTTATTGGTTAGACCTGAAAATGATAGAGGGATCTAGAATTAGTGTGATAAGACTCCACTATGAGTTTCAGAGCTTAATTCCAATGTTTGGTCTGTGTTTTGCATCAGAACCCAAATGCAGGCAATTCTGCTGAGAGTTCATGCTTATATATGACGACAAAGCATGAAAGGCCTATCAAACCTTAATGGTTTGACCTGAAAATAATAGGGGGATCTAGAATTTGTGTGATGAGACTCCCCTATGAGTTTCAGAGCTTAATTCCAATGTTTGGTCTGTGTTTTGCATCAGAACCCAAATGCAGGCAATTCTGCTGAAAGTTCATGCTTATCTATGACGACAAAGCATGAAAGGCCTATCAAACCTTATTGGTTAGACCTGAAAATGATAGAGGGATCTAGAATTAGTGTGATAAGACTCCCCTAAGAGTTTGAGAGATTAATTCCAAAGTTTGGTCTGTGTTTTGCATCATAACCCAAAATGGTGACACAAAATGGTGCAGGTTGCTGAAGCATCCAAACGTGAGTAGGCAGACAGCCAACATAGTTGATGATAACAGCAGCACAAACTTCAAAACCAAAAAATAACATTCTTGATATTCACACCTGTCCATGATAGCCAGAGAATGAGTTGTGATGTCATAGGAACTTTATGGAGTAGCTTGATATATTGTTCTTGGTGAGTGAATTTCACCCAGAAACATTTTTAAATCCTAAACTGTAGAGGATGCCTACGGAAGATGCTAGAGCCATTCAGAAGATGATTTGCATCACTAACCTCTCAGATATCAGTGTTTAAAGGTACGCCTGAAGGGAGGCATTTGGAGCCAAAAACCACCCTCAAATGTGTTTTTTGCTACTATCTCATTTGTTGTACGTTATGGACTGGCTAAATCTATCGTATCATAAAAAAAATAACACAACCAAAAAGTTCCCAAGACTTATCCAATTCTGTGGGCTCCAATTTGGCTTGTTTCAGATCCTTATTGTGCTATTTAGTCAGTATGTAAGCACCAAAGTTTGCTCATCTTGACAGTTATGCATGTTACTGGCGACATCTATGCGCGACCCCCATGTGGCGACCGTCGCTGCGACGCTGTTCATGCAGCCCGAAATCTTTACGGAATGTTTGCGAAATTTGTGAACCATATTTTTATAGCTATATGAGGACTTTTTTTACGCCCGTCTGCGTCCTGTCTGAATTCGTCGGGCAAATCTTGAAATTTGCTAGGCGCTTGTCTATTTCGCGTGCGCAAGTCTACGTCGACACGGAAATGCACGTTCCCCGTCTGAGGCTCCATAGATTCCTGGGTCATACCACTGCCGATGAACAGTCCAGACATGGTCTTATCGGAACAGTTTGCCAGCCTGGTTGCAATACGCGCCAATCCACACTCACCAATCTGCCAGCTACGAGGGGTTTTGCACAGGCTGGGGTGGGCACACCAGGCTGGCAAGGTAAGTATGGCGCAGCGCTGTCCATGCGTTGGCATTGCAGATGGCATTTTCATGCAGTTGTCACTCGTGTCTGTTCTCCAACTGTTGCGCTTCATTCAACAGTAAGTGCTGACAAATATTTTTTCGATTTGTGAAGTCATTTTCGGGGCAAACATCGACTCAGATGCAATGAGAAATAAATAAGTGCGAGGATGGGTGTGGCAGATGTTTAGAAAAGACAGGCACGGGAAGCAGCAACATTTTGAGGTTGATTTTAAAGCAGTGGTTGCCAAACCAGCGAATCCACACTCACCAAGCTGCCAGATACGAGGGTTTTTTTACAGGCTGGCGGTGGGCACACCAGGCTGGCAAGTTAAGGATGGCGCAGTGCTGTCCTTTATGTTAGCATTGCATATGAACTTTCCGAGCAGTTGTTTCTTGTGTCTGTTATCGAACTGTTGCGCTTCATTCAACAGTTACAGCTGACAAATATTTTGTCACTTTGTCGTGATACTTCTCGTGCCAATGAAAAGAAGTGTGAGGATGGGTGTGGATGATGTTTAGAGCAGACATCCACGGAAAAAAGCAACCTTTTGGGTGGTAATTTACAGTACTTCGTTAAAACCCAATACTCATGATGCTGACAGCGGCGGGTGCAAGGGTGGAGTATGGAAGAAACACCTTTGTCTTGCGTGTTGAATGACAGGTGGCAACACTGCCATCGATTTTGTCGTCAAGCACAGTTCAGCCGAACCACAGTCAGAGCTGTAGGCTGTACCGTTTTTTTCCTCGACAGAGACGACAACGATAAAAAAAAGATCGAAGAGTGGCATATTTCCGCCAGTTTGGGGACGGAAATTTTTTTCCTAGCGAGGACATACCATCCTGTTACTGTATGTGTGGGCGAGGAAGGACAACAGAGATAACCAAGTAGTCCAGAAACTACACAAACCTGACTGACGCGATACGACAACACGTACCAGTTGACACATTTCCACGCTTCAGAAACAGGTGATGAAGTTTCGGGAGGATCCTGTCCTTCTCAAAGTACAATCACATGTCAATGCTGCCAGTCCTATTTCAGTTGAGCGTGGCACATTGAGACAAAATGGTCCCCCAGAAAATCACGTTCGTTGTGTTCTTGGGGCTGGACTCTAGAAACATTTCGGGATGTGTTCACTTTCTTGAGGTCCACCAGTAGGGTTCGTGTCAACACCAGCAGAAAAAAAAGGAAAAAGGTGTTGAGAGTATCAAACCGGGGTGGAAAGAAATTGTTACCACAAAGATAGAAAGTCACCCTACAGTTTTCAAACACGGCCTCAATGTCCTCTAGCAAACAATGAGGTCAGGACTACAGGCACGTAGGGAAGCTGAAGCTCGCGTTACCTTTGCTGAGACAGCTCCAGCTCCAGGCACGTAGAGAACCTGAAGCTCACGTTTACCTTAGCTGGGACTGCACCAGGCACGTAGGGAACCTAAAGCTCACGTTTCCTTTGCTGAGACAGCTCGAGTTCCAGGCACGTAGGGAACCTGACGCTGTCGTTACCTTTACTGAGACAGCTCGGGTTAGGTTCCCTTGCATGCAGTCACGCTACCCGTGACTGCAGCTATGGCGTTTTCCACGGAACAAGGCACGGCGAAGCCCCAGTGACGATGTCCACTCAAACCGTGTCGCTGAGTAATGCATCTAGTCACGGCCTACTTATCCTGCATCTCCGCTCTGAACGGGAAGTCACCAGTCATGCGGAATCGCGCCGCACGATTTCGTGATCGTATGACGCGCCGTTGACTGGCTGGCAGCGCATCTACGCAGCGGCTTGAGATGCTTTGGAACTTCACTGTGAGCTAAGGGATGGGGTGGATGTACATAACTGGAAGGGCAATGCCTTGCATTCTATCATCAAAACATTCAACTCTTTGTTTGGGAGCTGTGATCCCTCTCTCTAGGCCAGTTCTACTCGTATTTTCGCATCGGGGATTACAGCATCGCCTAGTATCTTCTTGAATATAACCTGGTGGTCTTGTGTACGTCTCATGACAGGGTCCAAACCAAGCTCTAGAGGTCGAGATGCGGTGGAAGAGGACAACGAAGGCGAGCATGTGGACAACTCTCGGGAGGGAGCCATTACACTGAGAAAGTCTGGGCGAAAGAGGCGCAGGAGGGTGCGCATTGGGGAAGAAGAGTCTCAATCCGGTGAAGACGCACCAGAGCGTGATTCGGGCGATGGAGGAGAGACCACCGCGCGGGACTCTTCTACCTGCCATGATGAGACAACCGGGCTGGGAGCTTCAACTGATGAGGCTCATGGTTTAAACAACGATGACGAGGGACCGGACGGCCCATACGACGCTGAGGACGAAGATGCTCGCGACGTGGAGGATGATGAGGAGGCTACGAACGAGGATGGTGACGATGAAGATTCTGACGAGGATGCTAACGATGAGTACGGGGAGGAGGTTGATGACGAGGTACAGGAGGAGGATGAACAGGAGGAGGAACAGGAGGATGAACAGGAGGAGGAACAGGAGGATGAACAGGAGGAGGATCAGGAGGAGGATGAACAGGAGGAGGATGAACAGGAGGATGAACAGGAGGAGAATGAACAAGAGGAGGAAGATGAGGAGGAGCAGGAGGAGGAACAGGAGGAGGAACATGAGGAGGAACATGAGAAGGAACATGTGGAGGAACGGGAGGAGGAACAGGAGACGGAACAGGAGAATCAGGGGGGACGGGAGGAGGAACAGCAGGAGAGAGGCGAGCATGAGACTGAGGCAGAACCTGGTAACAACGATGCCGAGTGCGACATGGATCCCAACAGCCGTGAAGAAGAGGCTGTGGCTGAGGAAAGGGCCAGACAAAGGGGGCGGATGTTGCCGAAATTTCAATGCTCGGCGGCAAGGTCGTAATGGCAGACGGAAAAAAATTGACGACGCACTCTGGAAAGGGTCCAGAGCAACCGAAAAAGAGAGAGATGAAGCTGCTGCTCGCGGGGAAAAGAAGGGAGAGATGGTGCTGCGGCGGTTCAAGAGTTGGATAAGGGTGCAGTTTGGAGGGGGGGGTTGGTGAAGAAGTCGGGTGGGGGTGTGTTGGCCTGGTTGGATGACCCTAATGTGTCTGTGTTCTGCATGGACAAGGGTGAGGGTTCAAGAGCCCTTCATGTACCGGGCAGGGAGGTGGGAAACAATTTGTGCGGGAAGGGAGCAAGAAGGAAGGGAAGCACAATGATTCCAGGAACACGTGGTGTGTTCTATGCTCTTGATCAACCACCCGGACCACCATCAATGGCACGATGCGCAAGCAAGCTATTGACGCGCTGGGGTGGGAGAACAACTCTTGCTACCTCACGAAGCTTCTTCCGGAGATGCACGGCCAAAGGAATTTCTCAAAACGGAAGCATTCAAGGCACGCTACATGAGTGGTACGTTTTGTATGCTGGAGTGTGTTATATTATCAATGAATAGTATACATTAGTGAGATTTGTTTCAATGTGGTTTGCAAATGTGTTGTGAATGTTTTGTGTGTGTGTGGGTGGGTGTGTGTGTGTGTGTGTGTGTATGTGTGTGAGTGTGATTGTGTGACAGGTCGTTGGGGTCTTGGTTGGCACTGCGATGAGCACGGAAAGCCATTTGCAACGCTGATTTTTGCAGTGTCGGTGCGTCACGCATTGACGAGGCGCGGAGTAGTGCTGGACAAGCTGAAGATTCGACAGATTGCCTGGATCCTGTATGCTGTAAGTGGTAGCAGATATGCAAGTGTTGTATTTAACTGCATGCAGTTGCTATGTGTTCGAACCCTTAACCTTAGAAGCAGTGGGTGGATGACCTCACAACTTCTCCTTCCTACCTACACACTCTTCACTCCAATCTCCTTCACCTCGGCTTCCCACTTCTCCCCTTTTCACCCTCTGTTTTCCCCACTCCCCCCCACCATTTTCATAATGCAAGTACCTTGAATGGCTTCAAACTTGGATTGAGGCTCAAACGCTTCTATTTCCCTAATCACTATCAAACCCCCGGTTCCTTAAACCAATCTTGTGTGGCATTCCATATACTAAGCATTCCTCATTTCACCACTCCATCTCCTCTCCACTATTTTTTCCCTCCCCCCTTGCCATGCCAGTGAAGGGCTTCTATACTGCTGTGGGGCAAGATGACCATAGACCTCAAACCCGAAACCATTAAAGTTTTGACCATTACCCTACCCTTTTTTGGCTCTTGTTTTCCCTCAATCAGGTGGAATGGCCATTTTTGGATCAGTCCCCGGAGCGAAGGTTGTCGGGCAAGTCTGAAGAAAACCGTCTCAACTACGAAGCGATGTGCTCCCGTTGCAAGGAGTGGGTGGAGTTCGCGGTGATGGAGCATGGAGTGGCGTACGATAGCGGCATGGATGTGTTCGTCTTTCCGAACCACATCTTGATCGACGCCAGCGACTTTGGGCCTTTCGTTGCAAGGTTGCAGGTATGTCAAAGCTTTCGATGTGAAACCATATGTGCATGATATCAAGTGGACTTACATAGATGTTATTTGATTGTGCAGAACACTCCAACTATCCAAATGGTATGAATGACCATGGATCAAGGCAGCATGAAACGTGGTGCATGTGTGGGCCAGTAATAAGTGATGGGCCGCAGTAAATGTGGGGCAGCAGTAAGCGTGGGGCAGCAGTGGACTTGGGGAAACAGTAAGCGTGGGGCAGCAGTGGACTTGGGGAAACAGTAAGCGTGGGGCAGCAGTAGACTTGGGGCATCAGCCAATGTGGGGCAGAAATGAATATTTTGCGCTCAGCAAGTGTGGTGGCAGCAATAATGGGACAGCAACAGAGTGGCGACAGCATGTGTGCGGCAACAGCAAACAGAGGGCAGCAACAACTGAAAGGTAGCAAAATGCGAGTGTCAGCATGGCACATGGGGCAGCTACTGGTGTGGGATAGCAGCATGTGTGTGGCAGCAGCAGGGATGGAGCAGCAAGTGAGGGGTAGTACCATGTGGGGCAGCAGCAGGGATGGAGCAGCAAGTGAGGGGTAGTACCATGTGGGGCAGCAACAGAGATGGAGCAGCAAGTGAGGGGTAGTACCATGTGGGGCAGCAGCAGGGATGGAGCAGCAAGTGAGGGGTAGTACCATGTGGGGCAGCAGCAGGGATGGAGCAGCAAGTGAGGGGTAGTACCATGTGGGGCAGCAACAGAGATGGAGCAGCAAGTGAGGGGTAGTACCATGTAGGGCAGCAGCAGGGATGGAGCAGCAAGTGAGGGGTAGTACCATGTGGGGCAGCAGCAGGGATGGAGCAGCAAGTGAGGGGTAGTACCATGTGGGGCAGCAGCAGGGATGGAGCAGCAAGTGAGGGGTAGTACCATGTGGGGCAGCAGCAGGGATGGAGCAGCAAGTGAGGGGTAGTACCATGTGGGGCAGCAGCAGGGATGGAGCAGCAAGTGAGGGGTAGTACCATGTGGGGCAGCAGCAGGGATGGAGCAGCAAGTGAGGGGTAGTACCATGTGGGGCAGCAGCAGGGATGGAGCAGCAAGTGAGGGGTAGTACCATGTGGGGCAGCAGCAGGGATGGAGCAGCAAGTGAGGGGTAGTACCATGTGGGGCAGCAGCAGGGATGGAGCAGCAAGTGAGGGGTAGTACCATGTGGGGCAGCAGCAGGGATGGAGCAGCAAGTGAGGGGTAGTACCATGTGGGGCAGCAGCAGGGATGGAGCAGCAAGTGAGGGGTAGTACCATGTGGGGCAGCAGTAGGGATGGAGCAGCAAGTGAGGGGTAGTACCATGTGGGGCAGCAACAGAGATGGAGCAGCAAGTGAGGGGTAGTACCATGTGTGGCGGCACTAGAGATGCAGCAGCTAGGGGTAGTACCATTAGTGTGGCAGCTTGTGTATGGCAGTAGCAAAAGTTAGGCAGCAAAGGGTGACGGATAGGAACACGAGTGTGGGAGCAACAAAGATGGAGCAGCACCAAGTGAGGAGTAGCAGTATATGTGTAGCAGCAGGAAAGACGGGGCAACACCGAGTGATGGATGTGTGGCAGCCACAATCTTGAAGCAATTGCAAGTGTAGGGCAGCCGTCAAGAGGTTGGGATAGAGGGATGGGCAGTAGAGGGGGGGACAAGAGCGGTGTGACGAAGGGTGGGGTGCGGGGTGAGCAGCCATGAAAGGGGGGGTGATGAATGCGAAAGCTCCAGTATGGGAGTGGCGGCATTGTAGGCGATGGTTGCATTGTAATGTGTAGGGCAGTTATTTGGATATATTAGCTTTGTAATAGTGTTTAATTAATGGCAAATTTGGCCCCCAACCAGTGCTCGATCCTTCATAAGTGGAACGAAATTGGTGTGCATATGGAGCAAAATGGGACAAATCTCTTCCTGGATTTGGCCTGTACTTTGCCTAAGAAGATACCTAATTCAGACATGATTCCTACCTTGTTTTAACCCTGATTTTGGCCAATATCCAACCTTCCAACTAGTCCAAATTTGGTCTCCCAAAAAGGACCAAATTTGGGCCAATTTTAGTCCCACAAGACCAAATTTGGACCAATTTTGGCCCAAATTAGGGGGCCTTGTTGAGCAGGAAGAGGGGTGCAAGGGGGACCGGGTGGGACGCGTGCGGGTGAAGTCGGTAGTAACAGACCGACTCGTTGAAGGTGACGTACTGAGAGGACAGAACACGATGCGAGGCAGGGTGGTAGAAATGCCAGGGTGGAGCGTCGGTGGGGAAGCCCAGGAAGACACAGCGGAGAGTGCGAGGAGAGAGCTTGCACGCTTTGGTATCGCGAACAAGGGAGAGCGCGCCCCAGACCCGAAACGACGACGCATCACCAGGCTGTCCCGTCCAACGGAGTGTGGGCGAGGTCTCTGGAGCAGAGACACGGGGCCAGAGGTTGAGCTGATGCACGGCGTATCGGACCGCAAACGGCCACAGGAAATGGGGAGCAGCCGCATGGATTGTGGAGGTACGAGCAACCTCCATGATCAGGCCAATGCGACGCTCAGCGATCCCATTTTGCTGCGGAGAGGCCGGAAGCGTGAACGACTGGGCGATGCCCTCATCCTGACAGAACGTCTCAAGGACGCCAGAAGAGAACTCACCACCCCGGTCAGAGTGCAGACGCAGGACTGGGAAGTCCTGCTGAAAGCCCTCGTGTAGCTGGAGACAAGTAGCACGGATCCAGGGGATCAAAACATCGGTGATGTCCGCCTTGCGACGCAAGGGGAGGACTGTGGTGTAGCGTGTGTAGTCGTCAACAACCAGCAGGAAGTAGCGCTCCTGGTCCGTCCCACCGACGGGGGCCGGGCCCCACACGTCCAGGTGGAGAGTCTGCAGAGGAGCAGTGGTCGGAGGAAACTCGGAGGAGTGAGGAGCGGCGCGATGCCGCCCCTCGACGATAGGAAGGTACGGCGGCGCAAGTGAGCGCGGGAGCGGGGGCAGGGTCTCAGGGAGGCCAGAGACCAGGAGCCGGAAGTGCATGCCGCGCAGACGCTGCAAGGAGGGGTGACCAAGACGGTGGTGCCAGAGCGGAGTCTCATGCGTGAGTACTCTGCACGAGCAAGACGCAGCTAACTGCCCTGACGCAGACGCTCGACTCGACGTAGCTACTGTACCTGACCTGACTCAGCCACCTGTGCAGACGCAGTGGTCAGTGTGTACAGACTAGACCCAGGATGTCGAGTGAACGTAGCCAGGTGACGTCCAGTCCGGGAGCACGTACAGATCGCCACACGCTGCCCTCCAGGAATAAAGGTATCAATACAGACATCCTGAATGGCACCGTTGCTCACCAAGTTTGTCGAGAACGTGGGGAGGTGGAGACCTGACAACGAGCCGGAGGGGGCTGTTGGACAAGGGAGGGCCGTGGAGGCTCTCGCAACCACTAGGCCCCCAGAGGGGTCAGCCAGTGAGACTGGGACAGGTGCTGTGAGTGGTGTGACTGTGGTGCAATCACGAAAGAAGCAACGTGACGCGCTTGAGTCAAGTGTGAAAGTGTGCAAGACCTCAGCGGAGGCAGGACCTGTGGCAGTAGATGCACTAGCACCTAGAGCGTCAGTAGACTCACGGGCACTTAGAGCTGCAACAGACTCACTAGCACCAAGAGCAGCAGCTTTAACACAACGATAACCTCCACCACCAGGCCTGCCTCACTGAACTACCCACTCACGAAGTTGCTGAGGGGTGGCGTCGTACGGGAGAGGCAGTGCCCGCTACTGTCCACCCCTGGCCGCAGCAACTACCGCGATAGTGGCCATGTCAGACAGCGACGGTCAGGAGTAGGTCCAGCACCTCCAGCTCCTCTAGCAATAGCAGCACCTCCAGCACTCCCAGCAGCACCTCCACCAGCAGCAGCAGGCAGCAGAAGTAGCAGTAGTACCAGCAGGGCGGCTTCTTGGGGCTGGGCGGCGACACCTCCAACTCTCCCAGGAGAATCTCCACTAGCAGCACCAGTAGAAAAAGCAGCTGCAGCAGCAGTAGTAGCAGCAGGGCGGCTCTTGTTGGACAGGGCGGCTCAGCAGTAGCAGCAGTGCTTAGCAGAAGCAACACAATGGCAGCAGCAGCAGCAGTGCTTAGGAGGAGCCGGCGGCAGAAGTTGAGGCGGCAAAAGCAGTGCAGCCGCAGCAGCACAGTGGC